ACACTATTGCTTCAATTTGGGCTCATCCCTATTTTAGGGAAAGTTCTATCAAGTTTTTAGTAGATTATATTAGTTCATAATTCTAGTTATGATTTCATGCAAATTAATTTGTTTTTATGTTTTTAGGCAAGTTGCTTTGGTAATGAATACTGGAAACTGCGAAACTTTGCTTTCATTCACCAGCTTAAGGAGGTAAGCATAGAGAAATCCTATGGATCTAATGAAATTAAGTTTGCAAGGTATATTCTCGAGCATTTCTCAAACTTTGAAGAATATGGTCATTGTTCATCATGATGAAAATACTCCATCAAAAGTTGCTGAGATGGTGAGTAGGAGCAAGATGATTTCTGATACTTTAGTTCTCATTCGGCAGAACCTAGACCACATCTACACTATCTCTTATCATGGTCCGGGGGACTCACATATCAAATCTGATATCTTAGATTGTGATTCGGAGATCTCAGATAGAGATTCAAAGCTATATTTTTTAGCAAGCAAAGGGTTTTCTGTAATCTAAATGGAAGAATGTTTGATATTTATTAAAAAAAAAAACATTGTGTATGTTCTTGTCATGGTACATTACATTGACAGGACATTTTTGCAGTATTTCTTTTGTGATATCTCCTTGCTTTTGGCTTCACCCAGACCTAAATTGTCTTGCAAGGCACAAAATTTAATAATTTGGTATCCAAAAAAAAAATCAAGGGGAAAGAATCATTTTCGAATCCTAAAATTGGTACTAGGTAGAATATTCTAAAATTAAAAGCACAATATGCTAGACTGACTAGTCAAACTCACCAGTCAGCTAAGTACAAAACCGTTAGACAACCAACATAGTGCAATTAATACAACTTAGGTTACTAGAAGATATTCTAGTCAACAATGATCCAATTTATTACTTATTAATACGTTGTGTGAGCATGGTTGAAAGGCATGTAATAGTTAGCAAGACTAAGGATGCATGTGGCGAATGCTAATAAATAGGATATTAGTTAAGCAATAAGTAACTCTAAACACAAGATGTTTTGACTGGAAAAAAACGGACAAGGATCCCCTCCTGAGCAATTCCCTAGGGATCCAAGGGATCCCGCAATCTTGTCCGTTCATCGTATATTGTGTGGTCAAAAATCATTTAAAATTTAAATTTTAAAATTCAAATATGAATAGTACCTAACGAAAACTGACCGTACGATATAAAATAAACGGACAAGATTGCGGGATCCCTAGGATCCTTAGGGAATTGCTCAAGAGAGGATCCTGGTCCGAAAAAAGCCACCTTTGGGTTAAAAAAATCTTGGACTCCACGAAGCCCATTCCACTAATGCAAATATGGTTCATACAAAATACCACATCAAGCTCAAATCCTAGATCTAATTTCGGGGCAGCTTTACCTTTGTGCAACTGTACTTTGCACGAGATGGGGACCTCTTTGGTCTTCACGAGGAGGCAGATCTTACCTTGAACTCTTATCCTTGTGGCACCGAGAGCAACACGTCCAATGCAAAATGATATGTTGATGATGATATAAATTTTGGACTCAATAGACAAGTTAGATTCTCTAATCAAATAGTTGTTGGGAGACCCCAATGTGAATCCGAAAAAGAAACTTGGTCTTAAATGAAGATTTGAAACTTAATCTAGACCATGAAAACAATGCAAACCTATTTCTCAATAATTGGGTGTTTAATGCATGAAGAAAGGTTAAGCAGCTAGGGTTCCATAAATGACGAAGAGGGGAAGTTCAAGAGCTTTGAATGCACTTTAACTCTCTAACAATATAATTTGGACAACCAAATGTCAAATGCGCAACCTAGCAAGGGTTTTAAACAAAAAAGAGTTGTTTGTTTTCAACTAGCAAGGACAAGGACATTTGTCAAGCCAAAAAACGATCTTAGCAGATCAAGGGCTAGAAGTTGGCTTTTAGCATAAAAGTGTCAGTCAGGCCATGTGGTTAGACTTAATTTGCATGCCCAACTCATAAGAAGTCAATGAACAAAATTGACAAGACAGCTAAGCTAGTTAGAATGTAACAAGAATTTAAACGTGAAATGCATATGCATGCACAAACCTTTGAGGAGATGTGGCACAACCTTGAACACTTATATTCCCATATACAAGGGCCCTTAAGGAAATATACACCTAAATAAAGCATGTGTGGTACAATTACAATGTTGACAAGGAAAGCCAACACAAAAGTCTAGACTTCACAGATCTCTTCTAGTTGGATCTTCCAGATTTGAAGATTGCCTGCAAGCCTTGACTCCAGCACAGCCTGAACACGTTCGCGAAGCCACGACCGCAACCTTGCCTTGAATAGCACCCCGAGTCCATTGATCCCCGACTATAATCCTGACGTCATCGTTGTCTCCTCCACATTCACGCCCTTCTCAACCCTCTATCCGTCAACACCATTACCAGGGATCTCGAGCGATGGCCACTGCTGCTATCGTAGCTTCTTCATATTTCGATGGTGTCAAATCGTTTTCCTAGCCATGCAATTTTCTTTTGAACATATAAGATTGAAGGATTTTCCAAATCCAAATGGAAGAGATCCTGAGAGGATCCTATTCCAAAATCAAGAGCTCTTAAACACGTCACCTTATTCACCCCACCATCAAAGTACACCTCACTCTTAAAATTAAATTCTTATATTGTGCCAAAAAAAAAAAATCTTATTATTACAAAAGAAGAGGAAATTGTAACAACGGTCTCTTAACTTTAATTCAATTGGAATAATTGTCCCTTAATTAAGAATTTATGATCATTGGTCCCTTAACTCATTTAAATGTGCAGTTACGATTATTTTCTTCAACTCTATCAAAACTTCTGTCAAAATAAGTTACGTGCCATGCACGTGAACCTGAATCAAGGAGCAAATACGGAAAACCAAATGAGAAAAATGTGGCCTCAACTTTAACCCAATTGGAGCAATGCTCCCTCAACTTTATCTCAATTGTAGCAGTGGTCATTCCACCATGACTCATTTTGACAAGAGTTCTGGTGGTGTAAAAATAATCATAGTTGCACGTTTTGATAAGTTAAAGACTAATGATCACAAATTTTTATTTAAGAGATCATTACTCCAATTTGATTAAAGTTGAGGAACCATTGCTACAATTTTTTGTGCTAAAGAAATACAACATATGTCCCAAAATCTTATTAAAAAAATCGTATGATCCGAAATTGCCCTTATATTCAGTTGCAAACCCAACAAAACATCTATTGTGAAAATCATACATATCCATAACGTTTGATAATTATCCTATTTTTTGGTAATTTTCACTTGTTATCCATCATTTCTGTCGTAATCCTTTTTTATATCTCAAATACAAAAACTGAAAATCATTTTTTTATATACACTAAGATATTCTATTCTAAGAGGAAGAGAAATTAGGCTATGCCACACAATTGGTTTTTTTTTTTAAGAAAATTAACGAAAAATCCAAAAAAACTTATCTTTTAACGAAAAGTCATTTTTAAAGGTATAGTGAATAGTGTCAGTTAAAGGTAAAAATATGATTTTTCGTTAAAAATGAATAGTACCGGGAGTGTTTTGTTAAAACTCTTTTTTTTTTTTTGTCAAACACACAATTGGTTAGCAACTAACTAGGTATCAACTCAATACAAATATAATATGTCGACTTGAAAAATTTCACTTGCAAATGAAAAGAAATACTTCTAAATTATAGTATTAATTGATAATGAAAACAAAAAATTTATAATTACCAAACTGACAATTAAAATCATTGTAGTTAATGGGTCAGTAATCAATAGAATAAAGGGAACTTTAACGAAAAGCACCCGGTACTGTTCACTTTAACGAAAAACCATATTTTTACACTAAAAAGTCAATCCTGGTACTATTCACTTTACCATTTATTTTGTCCTTATCATTAAAACTCAAAGTTTTCAAGCTATTTTCATTAGTTTTCCTTAGAATAAATTGGTGGGTCAATGAAACCTTAAGGCTATATGCTAGTAATTTCAATTTGAGATCCCGACCCGAGCCTTTACAGTCAGACTTTGTTTATTTACATGTACTTCCTGTATTTAAGCTATTATATCAATCTAACGATTTAAAATTTTACACGTGAGCTACAATTAAGTTTAGTTTTTAGGAGAGTAAAAAAATCTCCCGAACAAAGTCTAAATGCAACGCTTTTTATAACAGCTTAACGGAAAGTCAAAATATAGATGCTTGGAATCCTTCCGATGTGTGAAGAGATACTACTACAATCATAAGTTTGAAATTCCTATGACAAATAATGTTATTAGATAGTCACAAATTAGAAGGACAACTTTAAAATTCATGTGAACTTTAGAATATGAGCAGATTAGTGTCTATATTAGACATATTAACTAATCCCAAAAAGTTGTCCTTCCATACAGATCTTTGAAGCATAAGCTCAAAATTCTTTTTCTTTTTTTTTTTCAATTCCACCATATTTTAGAATAGAGTAGAATAATAACATCATTAGACAGTGTGACGAACACTTTCGCCAATCTCACATAAACCTCACCCCTCACATAATAATAGCCGTTAATTAGCCGTTGATCCCGTTGTAGGCCCCGCCCTGATTGTAGAATCCGAGACTAGTTTGAATAATTTCCACCCAAAAACATACACATGACTCAGCGACAACCTAGCTTACAGACTGTCCACTCCTCACTCTCTCTCTCTCTCTAAAAGAAATAAAAAAAACAAAAAACGCATGTGGGACGTGTGGGGCGATGCTCAAAACTCTATTTACTATTAAGGGGTGCTAATACTCATCATCTTGTTTATTATAATTAAATGAGTTTAAATTTTGAAATTTATATTTATCTACTATACAGATCTTAAAATTAAACTTATTTAACTATTATAAATTGAGTATGAGCATTATCATCATTTAAAGATAGGGAACAAAAATACTTCCCAGTAAAAAGATAAAAGCAAACGAATTAAATAAATAAAAAAGGGCATTACCAATACCATAGAGGGAGGCCTGCCTTATTCTTCTCTTGCTGCCCTCTCCTCACCAGTCACCACTCTCGACCTAACCCTTTATATAACAACCCTAAACTCTCTCTCCCTCTCCCTCCCTCTCCTCCCTCACATTCTCTCTCTCTCTCTCTCTCTCTCTCTAAGAATTAGGTTCTGCTCAATTTTCTCTGTTTCTTTCATTCAAAGTCTTTGCTTTTAGAGTTTAATAGATAGAAAAAAGATGGCACTTTGCTTTGGATTTTCTAAAGCACTTTTTAGAGTTGTTCTAGTCTCTGCAATTGTCTTGTTTGCCCTTCTATCTCCATCTGCTGCTGCCACTCCCAAGCCCTCGGCTGCTGCTGCAACTCCTTCCTCCGCCCCTTCTTCCGCTGCCGCCGCCCCTGCCCCTGGCCCTACCAGTGATGGTAACTCACATTTTTCATTTCTTTTGTTAATAATTAGATCTGAAATGCATTTTGTCGATATTTGTTTTGGGAAATTTTCTCCCCTATTTTTGGCACTTGGGTTTTGTTTTCCTTTCTTGGGTGAGCAATGAGCGCGTTGGGTTCTTTGTTTGGGGTAAATTGCACTAACAGTACAGTAGTTTACTCGAATTTTCACTTTCTAACGTATTTTTGTACTTGTAGTTTCATTCGGTTAATACCATTAGTCCAATCCGTCAAATGGGGCAAAATTCATTGCAAGTTCGGGCTTTCAAACGAGACGACGTCCACAAAAATGAATGAAAAAAATCCACTTAATTGACGATTGGACTAAAGTGAAACCAGAACGAAAGTATAAGGGTTCAGTTTATAATTTTGGTTGTAATATGTGCAGGGACATCAATAGACCAAGGGATTGCATATGTGCTGATGCTAGTGGCTTTGGTGCGACATACCTCATTCATCCTCTGGACGCATCAGCATCCTACAATTTCTTTTGAGTTGGATTCTTTTTAGCTTAATTAGACCCTGCGTAAAGCGGGAGCTTTGTGCACTGGGTACGACCTTTTATTTATTCTGTGTGTGTGGTTGTTTGTGCATATTTAGAGAAATTGATGATTGGTAATATTTGAGGCCGATTTAGCTTCTTTTAGATAATTGTTGTGAAATTATTGTTCCTTTCTTCCTTTCTGTTTCATTGCTTGCTTTTACCATATTCGCATTGACACAAACACACGTTATTGTGTTATCCTGTCACAGAATCTTATCTATTTGTAAGAAAATCTTGTGAGTTTGGATTAAAGTCTACTGCGCTTGTTTTGGCCCTACTCAAATTTAGGGTTTCGAAACCATGGATGTGACCTGACACGCCTGAAAAAGTATTACGAATTCATCTTCTCTTTTACTCGCGCTTGCACACCTTTACGTTTACAAAACATGACTAAGTAAGATTAAAAGTCGAGAAAATACAAGTAGAGGATCCAGATCCCAACAAGAAACATGCAGTTGTGATACACTTGAGTTTGGGCATACAGAAAGCGAAACAGATGGATAAGATGTGCATTGTCTAGTATTCTATTTCGGAACTATTGGTTGTTAGATCTTGGGGCAAACATATAATGATTAAGATTTAACGGTTAAAAACTCTCAAGTATAATAGGATTTTTCAAATAAGATGTTCAGCAACACACAATATAATGGACTAGGATTCTATCATTTCCTATTCTTATCCCCCTCCATCCCTTATCTCACAGATTGCTTTTTGTCTACACGAGCTACCTTGCTGCAGGTTCTAGTTGACGAACGTGGATTCCGACCTACCCTTTTTCAAAATTCTGTACCAAATGAATCAAAATCGTATAGCTCTAATCCCATGAACAGGATTCCAATTTCCGGTATGCAATACCAAAACATGCATACTCACGGCAAAACAAGACAAAAACCGGGCAGAATAATATGATGTATGAAGAAATAAACCAGGAATAAATTCTGGAAAATGATTTTCTTTTGAGCCATTCCAGAATGAATCTGGGTGATTACTTACAGAGCAAGCAACACACACATGTAACTGACAGAAAACTAACAAGAACAAGATTAATTTTTATAGTAACTAACCACAAAAGGCATACTAAATTCATCCCTTACCACCTAAATATTCACATTTCGAGATTCACTATCGGGATGGAAATTACAAAAAGAAAAATGAAATTAGTGTGGAGCCTAAAATAATCCCAAAAATTCTAGAGGCAACATGTAGACTTTTACTCAAGAAAGACAAGATTGCCCTCATTAAATGGGCAGGATCCTCAAATACTTTCACGCCTAGCTCACAGCTTGCAGCTGAATACGACATCAATTAGCGATAATTACTCAATTATCTCAAGATATTATTTCCTATTTAATATCTTAAGAATATTTCTCCATAAACTTTAGCCAATAGGATGCCGCCATATGTAGGGCAAAACTCTAACACCATGGCTAGCAACTCTCCTATATATACCCCAATTATACCAAATTTCAGTAAACTTTTGACACCCTAAAAGCCCTAAACACTTACTCTTTTTCAAATAAACTAACTTAAGTATTGGAGATCCATTGGCCTAACCCCACTCCACCTTGTGGGCGCGTGAGGCTTAGGTTCTTGATCAAATGTGTTGATTGTGTTGCAGGTACATTTTCGATAAAACTGGAGACGACGGAAATTTACATCCACAACTAGTGTAGAAAATATCGTTGTTCAAAAAAAAAATAAATAAATAAAAAGAAGAACACGATTGCTAGAACACGAACCTGGCACAGGAACCACCCTTCCGGAATTTAAACAGATATGACATTGGTGAACTCATTGCCACAACGGGATAGAGGGATAAAAGGCAAGCAAGTTCAATGCACACTAAAACCGCATCAAATCTATTCATCCATCGGGCTTTAGGGTTTGTCAAAACCAAAAAAAATCACAATCCTCAACAAACACACACATCCATACATTGAGAGAGAGATGTTAAGATTAAAGTACAAATTTGATTTGTGTCACAACATCCAAATTTGATTCGATTTTTGAACCAATAATTTGAAATCCTATACACACTAGAGAAGTAAAATGCATATGTGGACATACATGTACGCAATGAAAAAAAATCAATGTAACACAAAACACAAATTGTTACACCACAAATTGTAATACAAGTGGATGAATATCAATGCGGTTTTTCGACTTGTGACTAGTCATCTCAAATGCGGTCACTTTACAGGTTTCTATTTTCTTCTGAGGCCGCTTTTTGGCGGTTTTAGACCGACCACAGTATTGGATTTGATGTACTATTTGGATTTAGGCCTATTTTTTGGAATGCATGCATAAGTAGCGCCCCATTGTATGTTACAATATTTTTCTAGAGTTTTTACATAACTAAACACTGTTTTAAAAATCTCCACCTAACACCGTTTAGACCCTACCTAAGCGCTAGACGGCAGACCACCATCCCGATTAATGCCTAGTCATTTGAAAATTAAAAAATGGCGCCTAAATCTACTGAGGCGCCCGCCTAACCCACCTAGACCTGCCTAGGCACCCACTTCACTTAGACAGAAAATAGATAACTTTCATTTTGCATTTTATTTTTTTTAATAAATTGTAAGAGATTTGTTTCATACTTAAATGAACACACATTATATTTTTATTCCCCATGTTTTCATTATGTTCCAATATTTCATAATATGTATGTCATTCTATTTTATAGTTTATAACTAAATTATATATATTTTAAGTATAAGCAGACACTTATTTACACGAAATATAATATATTTATTTAAATCCATCTAGACGCCTAGGCGTTGGACTCCAGCCCGCATCCGACTAACGCCTAACATCTTTTAGAACCTTGCAACTAAATGAGAGTTACTAGATCAAATAATCTAACAGCTTTTATTAGAGCATCTCCAAGCTAGAGATGTTGTAAGACAACTAAAACCCTGTTTTAAATATCGGTTTAGTAGTATTCATTTTTACTTGTAAGTAAAAGGTCTTAGGTTCGATTCTTGCCAAAGGCGAATTTAAACCACATTATTGCTAGCCCATTATGAGGCTTAACCCACTTCTCCACATCTTTAGTATAGATAATATTGTTTTCTAAAGAAAAATATATCCAAACTCAAAAGAGTTATGTCCAAAAGATGCTATAAAAGAGTCTCTATTATAGCAATATGAACTGATTATTTTTGCTGATTGATTGTGAAAAAGTTTGCCCACTGCTAGTAGGTTTTGAATGCTGCAGTACATTTATTTGTTTATATAAATAGAATAGGTCTCTGGCTTGCTTCCAGTAGATTGTTACGTATACATATTTGTTCTGTCTTGTATGACTTGTTGCTTCTACTTGTAATCAAGCAATCTTTTCTTCCCCCCAAAAAAAGCATCAGTAATTATATACATACATATATATAAGCAATTCCTATATCAGGGAGCTTAAGGGGAGGGATCTCCATTTTTTCAAAAAAAAATGGGGACACGCTCCCCACCGTTAGATTGACTTTAATGAAATTGTGTGGTTGAGATTAAAACACAGGCCATAAAATCTCAACCACAGGATTTCATTTAATTCAAATCCAACGGTGGGGAGCGTGTCCCCATTTTTTTGAAAAAATGGGGATCCCTCCCCTTAAGCAATTCCTATATATATATATATAAATATCATCATCATCATAATCATGCGTTATCTTTCCATGATCGAGATGTGAAAGTGAATTTTTATTTTATTTTTTTTAAATTTTATTAAATACATTGCTCACGAGACTTGATTCAGAAACTCTTAATGAAATGTTTCAGAGATTACATTGGTTCCCAGAGTGAAGACATGGAGACTGAAATGTATTATAGACCAAATAATACATATTTTGATTAAGGCAGGGGGCATAAAAATAGTTAATGCACTCTTGTATGCATGTTTATTGCAACATTTGTGTGATTGATTGTGTGTTGTGCCTCTAGCTCTTGAATATAGTTGCTTTTAAAATGGAGGGTATCATGGTGGTTATGCTACTGATCATCTTCTTACATTAGAGCCTTCGACACGGGGATGCTAGCATGACGATAAGGTGCACAGACAAGGAAAGGGAAGCACTCCTTGCATTCAAACAAGGCCTCATCATGGACGGGTACACCCAAGTAATATTCTCTTCGTGGGGAACAGAAGCCACAAAACACGATTGTTGCAGATGGAAAGGAGTCTCACGTGACAAACAAACTGGCCATGTAGTTAAAGCTTGATCTCCGAGACCACGATCTTTTGGGAGGTACGATGATTAGTCCTAAACTGGTTGAGTGGAAGCATTTGAAATATTTGGATTTTTTGGAATGTTTTTTCAACCGGCGCCAAGTTCCAGATTTCATTGGTTCTCTAACCAACTTAACATACCTCGATCTTTCTTGGTGTCGTTTTGGTGGAAATTTTCCATGTCATATTGGAAACCTGACCAATTTGCAGTATCTCGATCTCAGTGCTAATGACTTTGCTAATGTAGAAAATATCAATTGGCTCCCTTGTCTTTCTTCTTTTAGCATATTTGGACTTGAGTTTCACCAATCTCAGTAATGTTTTTGATTGGCCGGAAGTAGTTGATAAACTCCCCAAACTGATAAACTTGCCATTAATGAGGAGTAGCCTTCCTTCTCCTCGAGTTCTTTCCACTGTTTCAAACATAAATTCTTCTAAATCTCTTTCTAACGTCGATCTTGCTTTGAACCATCTCTCTAATTCTTCAATATTTCTATGGTCACTACAATCGCAGCCTTGTTAATCTTGATCTTTCGTTCAACCATTTGACCGGTTCAATTCTAGATGTTTTTGGAAACATGAGCTCTCTTGCAGATCTTGATCTCTCTTTTAACCATCTTGAAGGAGCGAACCCTCATTCTTTTTCTCGGTTATGTAGTTTGGGATCAGTGAAGCTTTCAATAAATAATCTGAGTGGTCAAGTTTCCAAGTTTGTTCAAATTTTGTCTGCATGTACTCAAAACTCCTTACAGAGTTTATATCTCAATGATAATAATCTTACGGGTCACTTCCCAATCTTACAAACTTTTCATCGTTGAAAGTCTTGTTCCTTTCCAACAACCAACTAGGTGGAAGAATACCTGAAAGTATTGGCCAAATGTCCAAGCTAGAGGATATTAGTTTTGGCATGAATTCTTTGGAAGGGGCCATTTCGGAAAGAGTAAAATGTAGCAATGGTCCCTCAACTTTAATCAAATTGGAGCAATGGTCCCTCAACTTATCAAAATGTGTAG